TTATATTTCATTAGCAGCACTAGATTTAGGTAGGCTCCATGAAGAATATATAGCTGAGTACGCATATTTAATGTCCTTAAAGAATAAAAGCCTAAGTTCTGAAAGGGCTTCATCCCAACTATCATCATCAAGTGGGCCAACATCTAACTCCCAAGTCAACTTTTGTGGTAAATGCAAAACAAGGAGCTTTTAATATAGACTTTAGATAGGGGTGAACTCAATGGAACCCCATGGATGGGGATATCTGAAAATGTATCCATATTAGTGTGAAACAGAGTTTGGACAGTATGTTGGAGCTGAAGATTGTAGTTGTTTAAAGTTCCACACTTTAGAGGACTCTGAAAGCAGGTTTATTGTCAGAGATGTAGGGAAATTACCACCACAGTCTGTAGAGATTAAAGTATAGCTAAAGGCAAAACTTTTTTTTTTCATTTTGGATAGAGTGGAGAGGGATTAGAGCCCATTTCAGTCTTTATTGCAGTCTGCACCTCTGATAGGGAGATTCACCCTCTCTATTTGCCCTGTTTACTATTATCATTGAAAGTGAAAAAAAATACAAAATGTTGGGTTGTCCCCAGAAAAAAAATAGAGGGGAAATCTTCCAATGGGCACACTAGTTCTGGTGACCTGGGAGTCCCCAAGGAATTCCCTTAATTTGCTGGGATTTCCTCTTATTTCCTGTTTGGCTATGGGACAGGAAGTGAAGGGAAATCTCTGAAATGAGACACAGAAGCCCCAAAAAATAAAAAATCTGACAGAGGTTATATCCCTCACTTGCTCTATCTAAAATGAAAAAAAAATGTCTTGCTTCTAGATCTTCTTTAAGTACAAAGTGTCTGGGAACTTTTCCACTTCTGATAATCTGGTTAGGGTCATGAATTCACTTATCAATGTGTGGGGAATTTGGGATAATTGGAAAGTTGTGTTATATCCAAATGTAATTTTGGCATAGATCAGTTTAACTTATGCCTCTCCTTGCCCCACGCAAATGGTTTGAGTAGTGATTCCATGATTTTAAAGTATTTAAGGGATGTGTATACAGGTTAGTTCCAAAGGATGTACAACATTTTAGGCAGGAGAATAGTTTTTATTGGATTTGATTGACCAATGACCCTCAGGGGTAGTTTCCACCATAGCTTTATTTTTTATTTGATGAATGTTAACAGGGGCTCCATATTAAGGAATTGGTAGTCTGCTACGCTCTTCGACATTATTATCCCCAAGTACTTAATAGTATTCATTCAAAACGCTGGTAAGTGGACCTGCTCTTAAGTAAATTGGAGAGAGGTCGAGTGATACATTTTGGGAATCAAATTGATTAATTACAAATATGGAGAATCAATCATGTGATCAATTATAGGCAGTTCCAAGTGTAGGGAGGGGCCCTGATCTGATCTGGTATAGGTGCAAATTGTCTGTGTAGCCCCACAGTGACATTGTGTACACCCCAACTCAGGTCTTGTATATCTGGAAGATTAAACCTATAGCTTGACCTCCAGGGCAAACAGCAGGAAGAAAGATGAAAGCCCTGGTGTGTACCTCTAGGTAGGTAAGAGAAAAGGGTTTATGGTCCACCTGTTGAAACTAATGTGAGCCACCTATCCAAAATATATGATTCAAAGCAGGGGCGGACTGACAACTCATGGGGCCACCAGGCAATAGGGTTATCATGGGGCCCCTGTGTCCTTGCCCAAACTCAAAAAAGCCTATGAAAAAGGTACCAGGGGCATCTCATGGGGCCCCCTACTTACCCCGGGCCCTAGGGCAGTGCCCAAGTTTCCAAATGGTCAGTCTGCCCCTGCTTTAAAGCCATTTGAGACAGTTAGAGCTAGTCCAAATCTTTGCAGGTCTGCCAGAGAAAGTTTTCTCTGCTCAATCAAATGCCTTGGCTGTGTCTAGGCAAACCACTACTTACTTAACCACTTGCCATCTGGCCGCTGTATATAAACGGCAGGATGGTGGCAGTGCAGGGGCGGGTTGCCGTTCATAAAAGGCACCCGCCATTATGGACTGTGCACGCTCCCTGGGAGGCGCAGCATCGCGATCTGGTGCCCGCTGTGTCCGGAGGACACAGTGGAACACCGACCGTCATACGGGACCTCTGTGCGAGGTTCCGATCATGTGATCACTGATTGGCCAATCAGTGATCACATGCAGAGTAGTAAGCAAGATGTCACTTCTGACATCATTGCTTACTACGTGTGAAATCAGAGGTGACAGAGGTCACATGGTACAACAGCCTTGTACCATGTGACAAGCTGTGACCAATCACAGCTCACACAGTAGTTCTCAATGGTTGCAACAATGCAACCAGAGAGAAGGAGAAATGATTGCTTTTACAGCCTTTATGGGTGTAAAAGCAATCAATGTAAAAAAAAAAAAAAAATCTTCATCACCCCCTACAAGTAGTACTCTGTCACCATGGTGACACTGTACTGCTAGGGTGAAAGTATGTAGAAAAAAACCCATAAATAATAATATAAAAAAAAAAGTAAAAAAAAAAAATTAAAAATGATAAGTTTTGGTTATAAACTAATTTGGGTTATTTTTTTTGATTAAAAAGATAACTGAATAAATTTTGGCCAAGATTTATGATGAAATATTATTTATTTGCAAAATTTTATAAGAAAAACACTTTTTTTTCAAAATTGTTGGGACTTTTTCATTTATATAGCAAATAAAAAAAAATCCCAGTGGTGAATAAACACCACCAAAATAAAGCTTTATCTGTCTCAAAAAAAATGCAAAAAAATTCATATGGGTACAGTGTTGCATGACTGCGCAATTGTCATTCAAAGTGTGATAGCGCTGAAAGCTGAAAATTGGCCTGGACAGGAAGGGGGTAAAAGTGTCTGGACTGGAAGTGGTTAATTGTGTGTGGATTACCTGTCCATAAATAAGTGATGGGTATTTAGCATGGTATTCTTGGTAATGTAATTATTTTATTGCATTTGTTACTATGTTTGCTGTTGTTTAAAATATTGGTAGTAATAGCTTCAGGAGTAGATGACGTAAACTATATTTTTGGATTCGATTGTTATTGCTGACAATGAAGCTAAAAAAAAAAATCAACCTTAAACACATGAATTTTCTGTGTTAATTTACATATTATTTTTAATACCATATGCATCCCCTTTTTAAAAAAAAAAGTATATCAAGGGCCTATAGAGAGAATGACCATGATTGTACATTGGAATGAAGATACAGGCCAGTAAGCTTCAATTATTCATTAATTAGCCAGATATGTGTTAAATGTGTAATATATTAACAGTTTATACTGGCTAATACAACTTTGCAAACAACCATTTCATTTGTGTGACTGACATCAGAACTGAATCCTTACACATTTGTTATTGTTTCAGATGGGGGAAGAAACGAAAATTTAGTTCTCTGGAAATATCCCTAATTGTTTTGTTCATTTTGGTCACAATAATAGCGATAGCCCTTATTGTACTGTTTGCTACAAAAAAAACACCTGGACTCAAGGAAGGTAAGACTTTCTTCAAAAGAATGTTCATATTGTATGTAAGATAATATGTATTATGCAAAGTAACCTTTATTTAAAACAGGTATTTCTCAGTTTGCTGTACATAATTGCCCATAACAAGTGACCCCCAAACTGCAGCCCTTCACGTACCATTAACTGACCCTTGGGGCACTATTCCTCCCACAAATACCAGTAATGAGGCACTATTACTCTCACGGATACTAACAATAGGGTATTTTTCCTGTCATTGCCCTCAACAGTGAGACATTATTCCTCCTCCCACTAATCACAGGAACTAAATCTTGTTTAGAAAGTTTGACGTCCTCTTATGTTATTGAAGAGAAGAAAGGGTTTTATTGAATACAGCCTAGGTGAATATGGAAAAGTTATGTTCAGTCTGAATACCTAATCATGTGCAAAGGCAATTAAAAAAAATTAAAAACAGGATTTTTAATTGTACAAGATTGGATGATTGAAGCAATTGCAATTTCCTCTTCACTAATCTAAGCAGACATTCCTTTTAAATAATCAAAATTCTAATTGTTAATAATTCATTCCCATTTACTTTTTTATGTATTTAAATTTTTACATATTTACTGCATTGTAATTTCATGATTAGCATTTAAAAGTTTAAAAAGCAGACACTCCTATTGTTTGAGTAGCTCTATGATCTGGTTGAAGAAGACTGCAACTAACTCTTATTAAAGTAAACTTGTCATAAACACATTCATTTTGAAACGTAATAATAATCGTTTCTCTTCATTTTGGTTAAGATCAAATGTAGTATATCTTCTTATCAGTTTTCAGGGACAGAACACAATTTCCCTTCACTAATTTGGGGAATTGGGTAATAATTCCAAATGTAATAAGGTGGGTATGCTGGGAGGGCTATTTTCCTTTTGGATTGAGGGCCAGTTCATACTGCATGCATTTCAGTGTGCTTTTTTCTGCATCCAGAATGCACAGAAAGTAGGTTATATGGCTGTCAATGTCATAGTTCACATCAGTGCTTGCAGTTCCAGTGCATTGCAGAAAAAAAAATAGAACAGGCTGCATTTTTCCTGCACAGAACTGTACTGAAACGCAGTAAAACACATAACAAATTAACCGGAACACACCAAAAACATAGTGGAACACACATGTCCCTATTTTAACCACTTGCCCCCCAGGCACTTATACCCCCTTATTTACCAGGCCAATTTTCAGCTTTCAGCGCTGACGCACTTTGATTGACAATTGCGCGGTCATGCAACATTGTACCCATATGAAATTTTGATCATTTTTTTTCTCACAAATAGAGCTTTCTTTTGGTGGTATTTAATCGCCGCTGGGCGCTTTACTTTTTGCGCTATAAATAAAAAAAGTGCAAAAAATTTGGGGAAAAAAAAAACGTTTCTTTGTTTCTATTATAAAATTTTTCAAACAGGTATTTTTTCTCCTTCACTGATGTACGTTGATGAGGCAGCACTGATGGGCACTGATAGGCGGCACTGATGGGCACTGATAGGCAGCACTAAAGGGCACTGATAGGCAGCACTAATGAGGTGTCACGGATAGGCGGCACTAATATGCAGCACTGATAGGCGGCACTGATAGGGGACACTGATGATGGGTACTGATAGACGGCACTGACTGGCATCACTGCTGGGCACTGACTGGCGGCACTGACTGGCACAACCCCTGGGCACTGACTGGTGGCACTTACTGGCAGCACTGCTGGGCTGATCTGGTGGATGGCACTGGTGGGCAGCACTGGTGGGTGGGCACAGGTGGGTGGCACTGGTGGGCACAGGTGGGTGGCACTGGTGGGCACAGGTGGGTGGGCACAGGTGGGTGGCACTGCTGGGCACAGGTAGGTGGCACTTCTGGGCACAGGTGTGTGACACTGCAGAGTGGCACAGGTGGGTGCACTGCTGGGCACAGGTGGGTGATCTGCTGGGCACAGGTGGGCGGAGCTAGTGGGCGCACTGCTGGGCACAGCTGGGCACCGATCATCAGGGCACTGATCATCAGTGCCCTGATGATCGGTGCCGATCCCCGCTCTGACAACTGCCGGTTCTCGGCAATACTTTCCTCACGATCTGACAGCGTGAGGAAAGTGCAGCCGAGAACCGGCACTTGCATTTCCCTCTGATCAGCGTGTCATTGGACACCGCTGATCACGTGGTAAAAGGCCGCTGTGATCGGCCTTTTACCACATCACGTGATCAGCTGTGTCCGTAGGACACAGCGATCACGGAGATCGCCGGGTGCGCGCCCACTGGGGCGCGCAGGAGAGCACGTTCTGGGAGGCCGTCATATGACGTCCACCCAGAACTGGCCGGCTGCAGTGCAGCCGTCATTCGGCTATCTGCGGTCGGCAACTAGTTAATTGAATTAAAATAGAGGGGAAAAAATTAACCGGAAAGCATCAAAAACGTACGAGAACACGCTAAAAATACATCAAAAAACGCATGCAGAAATGCATACGGAATGCATCTGGACTGTGTATCTATAGTGTGAACCGGCCATGAATCTGGCCTGGTTTACTAGGCTTGTCCCTGGTTGAAGACTCTCCCTAATGCCTTTCTGATAGGGATGGTGCTGCATTTGTCTAGCCAGGGATTGGTCTGTGAGAAGCCTGTGCTACATGTGCTCCTGCAGGGGCAGTTCAATGGTTCCAAAGAAAAATTGAATAATTCACTACATTTTTTGTATGGCACGTTGATCACAGCACCCCTTGCATTTTTTTTCACACCTGCCTCCTGGGATGGGTCTTTTTGGCTGGGACTAGAGGAATTTTTTTACTGGTCAGGCCAGCCACTGTCTTGCAATTTGGCACCCAAGCACTTACCCTTTTTATTTTTGCACCTTTTGCACAGCACTATGCACCATAATTCACCTCCAATTAGTAAGGTGTAGGTCCCCAGACTTGCCCTGAAAGTCTTGGGGGGGGGGGTAGGGCACGTGGCCTTTTGGTTAGATTCTCCCCTCCAGTGGGGTCTCCCTGCAAAAAAAAAAAAAAATCCCAAGCACCACAGAGTGTGTATATTCCCTCTTAGTAAATCTTGGCTGTGTGTCCCCGTAGAGCTTGGGTCTTATCTTCCCAACATGTCTGAAAGAACCTTTATTCATTCCTATGGATGGAACAATATATTAAGAATCTTAAAGTATATGTGAACACTCACCTTGAAAAACAACCTTTTCAGTTTAAAATAGAAAGGCAAGTAAAACATATATGTATGTATGTATAAAAAAAATATTTTTTACAATTTTATTTTATAAATGACCACATAATATCTGTTCTCTGCTCCATAAAAGGTGGGGGTGGAGACTGTAGGGCAGTGTGTCAGCAGGAGCCAAAGAAAGAGCAAGACACCAATCTTCCCAGTGAAGAGCTGTGTGGGGGGAAGGGCATGTCACAAACTGACCATGCTGAGATGTGCCCATATGCCTAGTGTGGTCAGTTTGAAATAGGAAAGCAGTGAGAATGGCAGGATTACAGATATTTCACACAAAGGAAGCAATAGAAAGAAAACGGGATATTTTTAACACAAGTACATGGTACAACAGACACATATCAGGAATGTAAAATGTTGGGATGACAAACACTTTAACAGTGGACAGCCTCTCCACAGGAATTAATATAGATTCTTCCATGCACAAAGAGCACATTTGGGAGACAAAGCAGAGCAAGAGGAGAAGAACCAAAAAGACGACTATTAACTGTGTCATAAGAACAGTAAATAACATGACTGCTCTGCACTATATTCCAAGATGCCTTATTTTTTTTGTAGCATAAAACAGATTGAAATACTCTCTACATTTCAGACAGCTATACAGTTGTGTTATCTCTTTTACTATTAAAGCCAAATGGATGTGGTAGTACATGCTGGAATGTGTTATTTTTTTGAGTCTGAACTATGCACAATTCTTATTTTGTCCTAACTTTCTGTGAGTGTGATGTTAGAATATGTCCTGTGGGTATGCAGCATATGATCACATATAGAGTGTCAAAAGTAATGAGAAGCTTTCCCTTACTTTCCATCATAGAATGAAATTATGGATGCAACATTTGTCTTTATTATTCTTCAATTTCATGGAATGATACATCATTCTCGTTTAAAAAGTGGATATATTAAAGATCTAACTTTAAAAGAAACATATGGAATTTTTAAAAATGTATACTTACCTAGGTGTCCCCTGACAGCTTTAAGGGTGACGACTGAGCGATCAGACACCAATGATTGCTCAGTTCTCCATGCCGCTCTGAGTAGAGAGAGGAGACTGTCACCTCTCTCTGCTCTACCCCTTCCCCAGCTCACTGGATCGCTGGACTGTGGAAGGGTCAGGAGTGACTGGCTGAGGTTCTCAGCAGATCACTGAGAGGCTGAGTCAGGTGTTGGTCCATGGATCTGGGTGGATCCAGACTTTAAAGCAATGTCAGCCAACAGCCGACTGTAGCCCACTTTTATTATCAAACCCACTCTTTCACTTAGCAAAGGTTGTGGGTCTCTTATTTACCTACAGGTTTAGTACAATATCCTGTTCAGGGAGGGCCATTTCTCATAACCCCCCCCTCCCCATCAAAAAAGAACTACAGCTGTATAGTATTTGCATGACGGGAGTGCAAAGCCACCCAATCACAATATTGTAGTGTTGTGGATTGATATCGATAAAGATATTGTAAAGTATCGTAATTATAGGACTGCACAGCAGCAATTAAGATTTCCATATTAAAATATTATATGCTTACCTCCAACTTAAGGGAATATCATAAAACTGCAATACTATTATTAAGAACAATAGCATATGTGAGGAAGGCCAAATATAATATGAAAAGTCCATTACATTCCTGAACTCCTATGAGAGAACAAACAGGCTATTAAATGCCATAAAAAAATGTATAGCAATGGAGAAAACAAGTCCAGAAAGCATTTCTTGTATAATGTATTTGTGCTGACACAGTGGAGTCTGGCTAATTGCAAACAAACTAAAATGCCAGATACCTCATACCTCATTCCCACGAGATGGTTGAAAGTGGTATTTAAGGAGTGTGCTGTAACTTAACTGTGGTGCCATAGATTAGTTGCATTTCCGGGTGTGAAAATATCTAGGGCTCCCTACATAAAGTGACACCTCTAGTACAAACAAGACTGTTGCTAAAGATACAGCTAAACCTGAAGTAAAACATTAAAGGAGAAGTACAGCTAAATCTCTTTTGGTTGTACTTCTCCTGTGGATCACAGAAGTGCAGTTCACTCTGCAGTCTTGTAACCAGGGGTGGACTGACAACTCATGGGGCCCCTGGGCAATAGGGGATCATGAGGCCCCTGTGTCCTTGCCCAAACTCAAAAAAGCCTATGAAAAAGGTATCAGGCAGTGCCCAAGTTTCTAAATGGTCAGTCCGCCCCTGTTTGTGACCCATTTTCAGCTGACAGCGGGCTGAAGTCTCTTAGCCTGTCTAGGCTGGGGAAAGATCCCAACTTTAAAGTTAAAGTCTAGGGCGGCACCTGGCTCAGCCTCTCAGCAATCTGCTGAGAGCCTGAGCCAACCTCTTCCTTCTGATCAGGTGTCAAGTTCTTTGGAACAAGTTTTGCACACACTTTTCTCACGTTCAAATCTTGAGTCACAATTTTATGAACAATTGACTTGGCAAATCCCATTATCTCTGCAATCATTCTGATAGTGAGCCTTTGGTTATGGTTGAGAACAGACCTCACTGCATCCACATTCTGTTCCGTTTTTGATGAAGAGGGGTGTCTTGATCATTGTTCATCTTCAACACCTTCTTGTCCTTCCTTGAAAGCCTTGTACCATTGGTACACTTGTGCAGATGAAACCGCAGCTTCTCCATAAGATTTTCTCATCATTTCCAAAGTTTCTAATGCACTTTTACCTAATTTCACACAAAATGTTATTGCATACCACTGTTCCAAACTTGCTTAGATTTTTCTAAATACAAAGCACTTGAACATGTCACAAAAAAAAATGTCTCAACTCTGACAGGACTGGAATGCAACTGATCAGTGTTATAACATACACCTGGCACCTCACCCCAAGTGACCTTGGCCAGCTTCTCCCTTTACAGAATCTTTCTCGAGTGTAGGAACTTCATTCTCATTATATTCTGGATACACCTCGTAAGATCCAGTAGGCACTGTTTAAGATCTGCAGAGGCAGTAGTGGTTGTTTTGAGAGTTGAGTTGAAGGTTAAATTGAACATCCTAATAGTAAAATGGGAAAGAACCCCCCACGTTGCCACTAAAACCCTAACCACACTAAACTGAAACCCTCAACAGAAAAAGCAGCTAGCACCCAACTATATAACCAAATAGTAAGAGTACGTGGAGGAGGGGTGGTGCTGCGATAACAAATGGAATGTAACTAAATAAGTGAAAAAAATAAAAGAGGGACAAAAAGGTGGATACCCACCAAATCAATAATAAATGTGAAACCACAGCATAAACAGCACAAACAACACAGGTGCACTGTCGTATATAAAGCAACATAAAAACAGAGAACACGTCCTCAAATAAAGGTGGTGGATAAAGTGATATGCTATAGTTGTACTATAGGTAAACTAAAACAAAAAAATCAAGTCAATAGAATATACTGTACAAAATGCCAGCTTTCAAGCCAGCCTGGCTACCCCGTAGGCGGAGCCTGAGCATGGCGGCAGAGGAGAGCTCAATGTAGGAGCTCTCGGATGGAGCTCCGTGGTCTGACCTCCCCAAGCCTCCTGTGTACCTCCTGAGCCATGTAAAAAGCCTTGTGGCGTGGGACTTACCCTGGCCTGACGGCTCCCCGGGACGGGAGGTGGAGGTTTGCGGGTGGAGAGGAGGAGAGTGGAGAGCGGCTGGAGACTAGCGGCGAGAGGGCGCTTGGATGCTGAGAAGCCGGCGCGATCACATGACTGGCCGCAAAGCA